GCAGGAAACACGAGTGAAATTCATTCCCATTTACTGTGTTTAATAAGCTCATGCTGCTGAAAATCGTCCCCATCATAGAGATCTGTGTGTCATACAGTAAAACAAAAAAAATGTTACAGAAACCGTATGTCAGAAACAATCACTGTATGAACATGCAGCATAGGGCTTATTTCCTGGAAATAGTTTTATTCCATCACTTTTTTGCTATTCTGAACTTTTAAGAGCTTCATTTCTAATTTCAAACATTTCTGTTTTCACACATCTTGCATGTAGATTGACACCATTATCCTCTTAATTTGTAAAATCAAAACCCTGGAACAACTGAAGATATCTTAGAAAAGATTTACGAAAAAGACACTGAACATATAAATAAACACTGAAACATGGCCTGCAATACATCCTACTTACTCTCAGCTTTCTTACAGTGTAGATTTTCCTGTGCCAGTTTTGTCTTAGTTACATGCTACCCTACAAAGAGACCCAATTGTTTCTTATTCCTCCAGCTTAGTTGTACTTCCACCCAGGGTTATCTTCAGAAAAGCGAATGTGAATTCTGTAAGGATCACGTACTCCATAATTGTTGAATTCAATACTGGCTGAAGGGAGCAGACATTTGCAGCCACCATGAATTGACCAGACTGCACAGCTGCAGCTGGCCTTGGCCGCCACTGGGCTAGCTTTAGCCCTTAGAAGCAGTGCTGAGCATCAGCATCACGTACAGGAAGCGCTTAGCGAAACAACGTACACTTGGTGTTGTAAGGATTCAACGTGGAAATTTCATCTGTGCACTGACCCCGGGTGTTACCGTGCAATATTGAACGGAGTTACCTAATAATGGAAGTCTAGTCATCATGTGCCTATATTCTTAACTCTGACTGGAAATCTCTGACCAACAGGCTGTCTGGCTTCACTTAGTCTTCTCAGGCATTCTTTTTAAACAACAGTAGAATCTGTAAAACTTTTTCACTTATCTTAGCATGTAAAACATATCAGTGAAAATGGGATAAACTTAATTCTGACATAAGCCTGAACAGTCTCACTAAAACTAGAGTTGCCTTATTCCAGCAGAAAATTAAGCCCCAAAATGCCTTCTTTAGTAAGTTAATTCTTTTTGTACTCGAGACATCTATACCATAATACCTTCCCCTTTTTCTCCATCCCCCCTTTTTTTTTTACCTGTTCCTGAATCTTGATTTCCTGATAGTCTCTGCAGCAGGTGGGAGAAGAGGTTGTTCCGGAGAGACACGTGAACTTGGTTGAGTTGCAGCCTCCTTCATTAAGACAGGCTGATGGACGACAGAATGCGTAGTACTGTTCAAAGTCAGCCTTGACAACAAACACATGCTTGCACTTATTGCAGATATAACTCCGTTCAAACTCCAAAACTTTAACCAAACTGGTACGTATGACAGTCCCAGTAACAGACAAAAAGTGACCCACATCCCTGGTTTTAGGAATGTGCTCTCGAGTCAGCTCTGGGCAAACAGGCAAACCTGTTAAAGAAATATACGTACAGCATAAGGCTATGCATATAAAGCATGGACTTACAATGCAGTTCAACAGAAAGTCTAGAAAAATGCCAGAAAAAAGCCATTGTTCTTACTGTTTCATAAATGTGATTCAACAATTCATCTGTTGTACAATAAATCTGGCCTCAGAGAGTGAAAATCATCAGGTGCTGAGCACTAACAGAAAACGTTGCCATTTTACTCTCTGACTCTTGGCAAGGACTGAATAGTCATGAACAGCTTCCATTCGTGGCAATAGATCCTGATGTTCTCAGATCTATTTATTAATTTAAATGAGCTTTCGGCAAATGCCATTTATTCTACAACTGGTTTATCTGAATTACAAAACTTCAGTTACGCTACTTCATCATGGTTCAACGTTATTCCCACAATTAAACAAGTGTGATTCCTAATCTTGCATGAATTCTCAAGTCTAAGCAAATTTAAAATTCATAGTCTGTGAACATTTGACCTTAAATCCCCATCACATACCAGTAAACTTCAAGCACAAGGAAGATGGCATAAAAAGAATATAAAGGGGTTACAAACACAACCAAAGCAAATTCACTTGTATGTTCAAATGAACAGTGACAGAACATTTTCGTGGCACTTGCTCTCCTTTAATTCCACCCCAACAGCCAGTTCTGTGGTAGACTGAACCCTCTCTGGCGTTCACATGCGTGGCTATCACTTAGCACCACAGCAGGTGAAATCCTCAGGAAGATTAACCTACCTCAACAGCCTACACAGTCTTTATAAAAATAAACGGTCTCTGAAACACACATCTGAGGATAGCATCAAAATACTGCCTCTTCAGAAGTTAGAACTACAAGATACTAATAATTATCAACTTAAATTATCTGCTCTTAAAATTATTTCTTAGCTTTACATCCAAAATAGAGCTAGGGAACAGAGATGTAAAATAATAAACCTGCTGGAAAATTATGTTTCTAAGGGGACCAAAACTATTTGTGCATTTAGGTCAAATCTTATTAGTAGCTTTGGTTGCTAAAAAAAGACATCATATATTTATGTCAGTGTTTTCAAAATCAAATGCTTTATTTCAGACATGCTGAAACATTCTGTTTTGATGCTTTTAAACAAATTGTTTGACCTTTTGGTTTTGTTTAAAGAAAATATTTTTAGATATTAAGCTAGTTTTAAAAGGCAAAAGACTAAAGTAAAAAAAAAAAAAAGTGAAGTAGAAAGGAATGAAATAATCTGGAAAAGAAATAAAGTATTATGTAGAGCTGCAAACAAATTTTTCTGGCTGACTGTAACAAAGCTATTTACATATTCTACCAAACCTGTTGAAAATTCTTTTTCTCCTATGGGTTTGCATTTCTGTTCAGTTCAGGCAAAAAAAGATAAAATCCATCTTTTTTTCACAGCTTAGTATTGGTGCAGCTCAACAACCTTTGCAAAATACAACACACCTTACACTAGAGAGAGCTGCAGCACTGTAGCATAGATGATATCATCATCTCTGTGAATATTGAAGAGACAGGAGTCTGGATGGGTTAAAAAAGCACCTTCATTCTGGTCATGTTAGACTGCTTGACAAATTCTTTAATAGAGCGTGTGCCTCTCTGAATCAGCTTTACTGTATTAGTAGCACTGTGTAGAACTGAACTATCAGAGGCAGCTTGGCCATCACTAACAGACACAGCGGTGCTCAGGCTAACGGTTAGTTAGGAAAAATCTTTTAATGGGTTTGGAGCAAAAGGAGAAATCGTACAATCCAATTCCTCCAGTGCTAAAATTCAGACAAAGAACTTCATCTTTTACTTTCTCCAGTGAACCCGGGGTAATCATCCATTATTAATCACTGCATATTCACACTCCTCGAATCCTTCTGTGAACTCCTGGACACTCTGTCCATATTGGTCTGAGTGTGCTAAGACTGCATTCTTACCCCTAGCTCACTTCAGCCCAAGCCTGACGTGCAGATCCCCTCGGCCCCAGCCCAGGTACTTGCCTGCCGCTCCCACCAAGAAGAGCACACCACCTCCTCCTCATTCCCATTCGGCGTGGGAATGGGAAGAGGCACTCCAAGGTGAGAATCCTGAAGACAATCAGAACCCAGTATCCACTTAAAAGCTAACAGTATCATGGGAAAATATGGGTGGAAAAAAGCCTGCAGATCACTCAGCTTATTGTTGTTTTTGTTTATTCACACCTTTCGGGTGGCAGAACATAAACCAAAACACATGGAGAAGATGTTCTTCTGATCCGGCTGGGCCACACGAGGATAAACACCCCCTGCTCTTCAAAAATTTCCCTTCAGTTTAGTGATCGGGTAATTTGTGAGTCTGACAATTAACTTCTTCCATCAATGACCAATCAGACTTACTTTTATCAGTTATTAAAACTATGTGATCAAACATGACTAATTTTGCTTGATGTTGGTTATGGAATATTCAGACATAACACCACCGTGGGAGGAACTGTCAGGTCCAGCAACAGGCTGATAATCGGAGCAGTAATGTCTTAAAGACACAGCTACTCATGCAGCAAACATCTGCCCCTTGCTTTACTCTTTCCAATACCTCCCAGTAGCTTATAAAATCATCATACTCGGAGTAAAAATAACCCTGTTCTCATGCTGAAGCTGTGATTGATGCAAGTGCATCGAGGAAACACATCCTAGAACATGGGGGAAAAAGTTTTAACTCATTCATACTTTTATAGGGACAAGGAGATGCTGGACATTTCAAATTTCAGTACAACTCAGAGGCCATCCTTTTACATCCCATACTCAGCAGCTGCATACAAACTCCATAACACCGAAACAGGTAGTAAGCTGTTTTGTTGTTTGGGTTTTTTTTTCCCCTAAAAACTTTGACAAAATACCATTATAAGAGCCACAGGTAATTATATTTCTGATGTACATGTTCTAATGACAGTATTTTTAATTAAATTTACTGGGGCAAAACACAGGTCTATTAAACAACTGTGATTCATCTGAATTCAAGCTACAAAAAGACTGAATGATCATAAACCACTCCAACATGGGGCAGCGGAGGCAAACAGAGGTCACCAGCTCTTGGCTTTGTAGACTAGACGGCTCCAAATAGTTACAATCGGAAATGACCAGCCACTGCTGACTCCAGTTCCTAACAGCAGGCAAAACAGGCATTTTAACCCCAGACCATGCACTCCACACCTACCACACCTCAAAGGTACTAAAAATTTCCTAGTGGTAAAGAATACTGGCATATCAACTTGTAGTGAATCAAAGGACAAAATCCTAGATCATGCCTTCCAACAGTTGACTCCAATTTTATAACAAATAATTTTGTAACAAGTAGTTAAGCACAAAATTTAACAATTTCAGATGAAATTGTTACAACTCAAAATGTAGACTTTGCCTGTTCCGGTAGATGGGTGTAGCCAATAAAGACCATAAACGAACCGACACGGTAATGAAGTCAACCTGCAAGAAAATCTATGAACTACGTATCTTCCCCTAAAACTTTTTTCTGTTTTTCTTTAGACCTACTGGCTAAGAGAGCTAATGTGAGACCAACCGCTGGTTTGAGGAGATTTCTTTCCCACGGAAAGGCTTTGCTGTAAGTCCTGGCCCAGCAACGAACACCAACCATTGCACACACTCCATCAGGGGTGGCCACAGCTTTTTCCTGCATTTCTCTACACAACTCCGTGTGCTTTCACGTGTTCTTTGCTGTTAAATAAACAGCAGCCATTCCCTCCTGCTCCAAACACTGAAACTGCAAGAATTACCCTCGCTCCTTCCCATGACACCCCAAGAGGTTGTTACAGAGTACGGAAATTTGGCGATGCTGACCGGGAAACAC